CCATATATAAATAATAGGCATCCGTCGTTCACCGCGTTGGTTTGATTGTACAGTATCTGTTGTAGTACACGCAATCAGAAAGCGCACTCATTTACCAGGATATCAGTCATAAGCACCGCTTATCTCTTATTCACAATCAGTCCCTTGAGCCGATAGATCGAGAACTTACTTGATAAATGTATAGATTGATCCCTATCTGTGGGTTATCACATTCTAAACTATCCCTACTGGTTTCATGCTTCTCGTCCTGGGCTGTTAACAACTGAACATGTTTGTGCCGTATGCGTTATTAGTTACAGACACGATGCTACAACCAAGAACGGCAAACGGTGGGAGCTCAGCGACTTTGAGATCGGCAGACCCCTCGGGAAAGGCAAATTCGGGAATGTGTACCTGGCACGAGAGAAGAGCAGCAAGTTTATCGTTGCGCTGAAGGTAGGTTTGCCTATGTATAGTAGTGTATATATAGTAGGTAGGTTTACGTATAGGTAGGTTTACGTATATATAGTAGGTAAGTTTACGTATATATAGTGTTTACGTATGAAGTATATACGTTGCAGTAAGCCTATCGTTGCAATGAAGCCAAATTTGAGTATATAGATAAAGAGTTTATCATTCTATATATACAGACGAGTCTCACATACGGAATCGGGTTGATCCGTATATACTCAAAACCAGCTCAAAGTGAGTTTAAGCAGATTACGATACCCATATGTTCACTATACAGCCTTGACATTGGTTTCTCTGAGAAAATATCAGTTGGTAGTTATATGCATTTAACTACCCTGTCTCCTAACGGAGCGTATAACCAGGTTTATAAGACTATAACATACACTTTAGGAAATTCAGGTGGTTCAGAAGCAGTCGGACTTATCAGTAGAATTTAGCCTATAAAGTCAATCCCCTTGCGTCACCACCTTTGAAGTAGTCTCTGTCATCACTATATACACCATACACTGGAGATGTAGGGTAGTGTTTTATCCGTTATGATACCCACACTCGCCGAGGCAGCGTGTTATCTGCAGCGTTGATGTATACTATTGATTTTAGCAATACATACACGCGATAGGGCTACAGACTACTTCAACTACTTCTCAGTGCACACTCGCAATGACACTATACTAGCTATACCGAGTGCCTTGTGTATGCATACATGTGGTGGTCCATTTGTCAGCAAATGGCTCGTGCTCAAATGGTATGCGTGTCACCTGTGTGTGTGCTGGTGTTGTACCACACATACCATACACACCAGCATGCCGTGCACCCGGTATTAAATAAACTATATATATATATATATATACTTACTTACGTACGTACGTACGTACGTGTCTACGTACATACGTATATACATACACAACCCGGGACTAAATAAACAGCCTTCTACGCTACGCACAAGATGCCCTCAGAAGACAACAAGCCTAGTTATCTACCCACTTCTTTAGGAGTATGTGAGTATACGGGTGAAGATATGTATATGTATATGTATATGTATATGTATATGTATATGTATATGTATATGTATATGTATATGTATATGTATATGTATATGTGTATGTATATGTATATGTATATGTATACCTATAAGTATATGCATATGTATATGTATCATGTATATGCATATATGTATATGTATAGAAGGTAGGCTTGCATGCTGCATGAGTTTGCCACATGGTTGAATTGGCTACTGTTTATAAAACAGGTGTTGTTCAAGTCACAACTTCAAAAGGCGGAGGTGGAGCATCAACTCCGACGAGAAATCGAAATACAGTCACATCTGCGGCATCCGAATATCCTGCGCTTGTACGGGTACTTCTACGATAAGACCAAGGTTAGTTGTGTGGCGGATGCTAATGCAATCGCCCGTGAGAAGCAAACTTTCATGTTATATGCCAATTCCAAGGACAAAACGTACCATATTCTGTAACACTTCCCAATATATTGGGGCGATATATGCTGAACGTCCAGAATTTTAATTCAGTTGTGTGGCTAATGCAATTGCCCGTGAGAAGCAGACTTTTATGTTATATGCCAATTCCAAGGACAAAACGTATCACATTTTGTATCACTTCCAATATATTGGAAAGACATATGCTGAACGTCCAGGAGTTTAATTCTGATGACATAGCCTACCTATCCGTTTTACTTTTTCATATGCAATACACACGTCAACCCCCCAGGTATACCTTATCCTCGAATACGCACCCAAAGGTGAGTTGTACAAGGAACTGACTCGCCTCAAGAAGTTCACAGAAGCCAAGACAGCGGCGTACGTATGCCAACTGGCCAAGGCGCTGATGTACTGCCACGCCAAGCACGTCATCCACCGTGACATCAAGCCAGAGAACCTGTTGCTAGGGCTGACAGGGGAGCTGAAGATAGCGGACTTTGGGTGGTCTGTGCATGCACCCAGTAATAGACGCACGACTATGTGTGGGACACTTGACTACTTGCCGCCAGAAATGGTTGAGGGGAAGGCACACGAGATAAGGTGTGTGTGGCGT